AATTGTTGATTTTTGTACAGTACCAAACATTTTTACCCGTCCCCGCTTCGCACCTAGTACCTGGGCTGGTCCCAGGGTCAATATTATATTTTTTACCCATAGACCTAGACTGACCACTTGAGCAGCATTCCATTCGTCCACAACGAAATCATCGCGATTATTAAAACCTCGTTTCTACGTTGTATAACTACGGTTCTTGTTGGATCAGTCAAGCCTGACGGTGTGTATGCTGCATGGACAACACATGTGGCCGATAATATAATAATAATATATGTTAAGAAGATTGGCTGGATATAGTGTACAATCTGCTCCGAGTACTCTGTTGTAGTCTGTCAAAATACTACATCTATTGTGTATAGAGAAGAAGGGATCAAGCTAGTTGTATCGTGATAACATCTGGTTACGTAAACGGGTACTCTACTCCATAATAATAATAATATTTGTGTTTGGGGCCTGCAAACAGGAACGCTCTTGCTGTTGTCCCAGCTATGCTACTAAGTCACTATATAGGAACTTGTAATAATCAGCATTTTCAGGGTGGGATGGGGTTGGTGGTGGTGGTCCGTTGGATCTCACTGGGGCGCACAGGAATCTACTCTGTGCGCGAGCAATGGAGATCACGGGGGGGGGGGGGGGGGCAGCTACAGTGGGAGAGGTGCGTTAGATGAATCATGGCAGGAGCATGATCAAGAAGGAAGGCTATCGTCACCAGAGCTATGTCTACTTCCACTGCTAACGCTGCTGGCGACAGGTCTTGTACCGAGTAAGGTGTCATCCAGCTCGTAGCTTAGCTTACAAACTCAAGAATACAGATCTGATCTCAAGGCAGAAAGTGCATGCGTCCGTCCGTGTATGTGTGTCTCTATGCGTGTGTGCAAAGCAAAGAGCTGGGTGGCGTAGACCAGGTTGGATAGTAGCGGTCAATTCTTCAGCTGTTGAAGGGTGCAATCCCACAGCACAAGTTGCCATGACATCTGCTGTTGTAGCATGGCTGTCATCGCCTCTCAGTGGCGATGGGCGTCAAAGGTCAAAGGTGTGCATTTGGGTGTGTGCTGGAGTAATCACCGATGGTGCATGGTGCAGGACAGCTTGCAACTGCAGTGCACACAACTGTAGCTCTGCATGCCGTGGCACTCCGCTCCGCGGGTCGACTAGATGCCACCGCCTAGCAACTGGTTGCGGACACCATCAGGTTGACTTGCTCGTCGCGGGCTGCCACGATAGTGACACGGCTACCACTGTTCCGGAGTATCTGATATGCCCTGCAGTGCAGTGCGGGTAGACAGGGAGAGAGAGGGACGACAGAGAGACGGACAGAAAGACAGAGGCAGACAAGTGGAGAGAGAGAGAGAGAGAGAGAGAGAGAGAGAGAGAGAGAGAGAGAGAGAGAGAGAGAGAGAGATTGGGCATTCTTAATTTTTGTTCAAGCATTCCAAAATCACTGTCTTACAACAGCATGATTGTACTCTTTCATGCTTACACCTTTGGCTATGGCACTCTCTTGCACTTGCCCTGTGGGCAACCGCCATACCCCACATTCCCACAGCTGCACGTCTTTAGTGTTTGCACACTCCTTTCATCTGTTAGCCGTTGCTTGCAGTTTCCTTGTTGGTTAGAACTAACCCTTTTCTGAAAACACACAGGGGCGTCGGACACGGTACGGTCACTACGGTATTGGCCGTACCACTATTTGCCCCAGGTATCCCGTGAATCAATAAAATACACTCATCTGGGCCCTAAATTTCCAAAATATTCGTCTCAGCCATCCCTCCCACATGAGAGAATTGTACTTCAGGTGGCTGACTGTACCACACTAAAATACCTTCCGACGCGCCTGACCACACATCCGAACACACTATTACACAGGGGGATTCTCATGTCGCTAATATCTCCATCAGAGTTCAAGTTTTCCATCTTGCTAGGTAGAACATTCTTCTGCTCCCCGTTCTTCATCACGAGTGTTTTCTGCACCGAGACAGTGGGCTATCGTATCTACAAGGCTATCACAGTGTGTGATTCATGGATTGTGTGTTGACTTACTCGTCCTGTGTGGAGCCCATCATGTTAGAACCGTTGATGGCCAGTATTCTGTCACCGGGTTGCAGCTGGCCACACTGTAGTGTACCACGTCAACAGCACAATGCACACACGTGCACATACACATACACGCACAAACGCATGAAAACACACGCGTACACATGCACACATGGACACATGCATGCACGGACATTACGCGCGGGGGCACGTACACACATGGACACATACACATGACCTCCTCAGCAGTAAACACACGTTGGCGTGCAAACAGTTTGTCCCGTCATGACGTCATGGCCTGACCAACCCGGGGACCAGTTCCGCCGCCATGGCATGATTGTTCTATGTGGACTCAGATATAAATGAAACGCAGCGTTCATAGTATAAAATATATAAATAGAATCTTAGTAGAATCACATGTTCGAAGGATCAGCCGGGGAAGTGAACTACCTGAAAAGAGAAGAAAAGCCGACCCCACCAGGGCTTGAACCCGGAACCCTTCTTTTCTATAGCAATGCTCTGATCACTGATCTTGAGCTTCCCCCATCGGTCCTTGGAAGTTGATGTTGCCAATAATCGTTATAAAGAACACATGCCTGCACAGTCATGCTAGGTATAGTAGACTGGCAGCAATGGACGGAGAAGAGACTGCCTGCACAGTCATGCTAGATAGTAGACTGGCAGCAATGGACGGAGAAGAGACTGCCTGCAGTGTTCCTGCTACCTGTATACCGTAAAGTACCGTTGATCCCCAACCCCATGCTATGTCGCTTCCCAGCTAGGTTTTCGGCAGGGGGCGGGAATTAGATCAAGGCTGTCAAGTGCAGTACGATGTCAACAATGTGGAAGATCAGACTCGATGTGCTGGATTGTGCACATGTTCATCTTGCACTGGCACGTATTGTGTACAGCAGTGCATGCGTCGGCTCAACATCGTATTTCGTTGTGTACGCTGAAGTCGCTTCAAAGGCAGAAAATCGACAGGGGTGGGAATTAGAGAGGGGGCGGATCAACGGCACTTTACAGACTACCTGAAACATAGCGCGTGGTTGTGATGAGTTTGGAATGCAATAAATTGAAAACATGGCCGAAAGCTCTGTCGCAATATTAAATTTTAGTACCTGAAACATTTTACTTTTATTTTTATTTAGACTACCTGCAGGGCTAGTGGAGTGTTCATGCCACGTACCTTCTGAGCAGCCAATCCTGGCACTAGACTGGAAATGTACACACCAGGCTCCACTCCAAGCAACTGTAAACACACACACATGCATACACACGCGCACACACACATGCATGCACACGCACGCACGCACACACACACACACACACACACACACACACACACACACACACACACACAAACACACACATGCACACGCACACATAACGTTACACACACTTTCTTGTACCTGCTCACTGTCAGAAACTGGTCACGTGGGTCTTCTTGATCTTATTGATTACATAAGAGTTGAACTTGCCAGAAGGAGTCCATTGGTTAAAGGGGATTTGTATGCAAAATGTCACTAAAAGCGCCATTTCGTTCTTATAAAAGCACGGATGACCGCGATTGGCCCATATGTTGTAGTCTTTTGGACGCTGAGTCGACTGGTTTTGGTCCGAAAAGGCTGCGATGCAGCGTTCGGTCCTTATTCCCAATCGAACATGCTTGAACAAGCGGTCACGTGCTCCTGCGTACACCAGCCACCTGGTCACCGTGCCTGCAGGGTACAACTTACAGCCTGTTTGACCTTTTTTGGATGCAGTCCTGTCACTCGAGTTGAACTCGAGTTGAACCTTGGTGTGAAAGTTGTCGCCTGCTGGCGCTGTGACCAGATGACTTGGGCACGCAGGAGCACGTGACGGCTTGTTCAACCATGTTCGATTGGGAATAAAGGAGGAACGCTGCATCGCAGCCTTTTCGGACCAAAACCAGTCGACTCAGCGTCCAAAAGACTACAACATATGGGCCAATCGCGGTCATCCGTGCTTTTATAAGAACGAAATGGCGCTTTTAGTGACATTTTGCATACAAATCCCCATCTAGTAGGGCACAGTCACCCAGTTTCGGTGGAAGTGCGCGAGTTCGATTGGGATTAAAGTAGGAAGGGAGCGTCTCAGCTTCCTCGGACCACGACCATTCGACTCAGCACCCGGAAGACTACAACTGGTAAAATTTTGATTTTAGCCTTAACTTCCCCCTTAACAGATGTTTCACACAGTTATACACCAGTACTAGTACTCGAAAACGGTCTCTTGGATACAAATTCTTCCAATAAATAGAACCTGAAGATGGGCCAGGCCCGAAAATTGTGATTTTATTATTTTTGGAAGAATTTGTAGCCAAGAGACCGTTTTCGAGTACTGGTGTATAACTGTGTGAAACATGAACTGTGGCTACAGTGGAGTCTGCACACCCTTAGGAAGGTGCACACAGATATGTCTCTTCAAATAGAAAGTATTATGAGACCAGCTAAGGCAGCAGGTGCAACAATACACCTCAAGCAGCTGAACCCGATGGCAACAGACAGAGCGACTATATCTGTCAGGACTCATGAGTATAGTTACTAACCGAACGCATACACACAGCACACGCGCGCGCGCGCACGCACACACACACACACACACACACAAAGGGAAAGTCACCGTCTCACACTTGCTTACCTTGCCATCTACCACTCCCAGACCAAGACCACCATCACCTTTGGTCAGCATTACCGTAACTACATCACTGTTAGGCACTGGTTGTGCCATCTGCAGCAGAGACAAGGTTAGAGACAACCACACAACACAATCATAGGTATGACAACGACAGCAGCAGCAACAGCCTTAGGAACATCAGCATCAGCAACAACAACTGCACCGTCTCCTTGGGCAGCACCAGGAGCAACGAAAACACCATTGCTACACAGGTACAGTGTGTGTGTGTACATACATACGCACACGCACACACTCACTCACGCACACCCACACACCCACCCACCCACTCATATACATACACACACACACACACACACACACACACACGCACGCACGCACGCACACACACACACATGCGTATACACACATGATGCGTACACAGCCATGCACAGTCACAGATGCCAGGGTACTCACGGGCTTCTTGGTTTTCGTTCGGGAATGATGATGCCTGGTAGAGCTGGGAAGCGGTCTTAGTGCTGATGATGGAGAAAGAGACGTTTGTGATGATTTCTGTGTTAGTGCTATTGGTGACGGTGCTGGTGGGTCATTTAGACTGCTTTCGCTCCCTGTTGTCAACAGTACAGATAAAATAATTCCAAGAGAATTTAATTTCACTTGGCTGACTGACATCTTTCGAGATCAGGCAATCCTTCACCATATCACCACCGTCCTTCAACACAGCGGACGGTGATGCCCAAACTCTCACCCCTGCCTTCAAGCCATTCCAATCTTAGCTACCAAGTGGAGACATTGCCATTGCACCTGTGCACATACTGCCGACTGGCACACTCTTGGGCTGCTGTTTGCATCACAGACGGTTGTCTTTCTGAGTAAAACTATGAAACAGCGGCAAACACAACAGCACCCACTTGTATCTGCTAATATCTAGTGTTAGCATGGGCAACCAAGAGAGGGGGAGGGGGGGGGGGGAGGGGGGGGGGGGGGGGCAGTGAATGCTCTCCCGCTAGTGGACTTGCAGCATGTTGCTTCTTGAAATCGCACCGAGCAATTCATTTCCGACGACTTTCTCCCCTCTCTAGTCTCCCCACACGCTCCTTCTTGCCCCTTCTCATTCATTCCATTGTGCGCATCCACATCAAAATCCACATCAAAATTGTCCCATATACACCCGTGCACACACGTGCACACCCGTGCACACACGTGCACATGAAGCAAGAGCAGTTACAAGTTACAACTCACCCGAACTGGACACGTCACTCTCCAGCAGTTGTACGGCCTTCATCATGAGATTGTCTACATCTGCATCATGCAGTGACCTCACACTGGCGCTGTACTGACTGACTTCAAGGCGACGATGAAACGCATCCTCGCGACTATGCCGCTCCGCTTCCACTGCGTCGCTCATGGCGTCAAAGACGGTCTCGGGCGGTGGCGAGACAGCTACTTGTATCTCGGGCATGCTAGACGAAGAGGGAAGCTGGTGATGTTGTAGTGATGGCGCTGCGGTCCCGATGGTCTCCGCTGTCGCCGATATCGGTCGTGGCCGCTTTTCTATTCGCACATCGCTAGTGTGGATGGCTGTGTGAGTGGCTGTGTCGCTGCCCAGTGTGGTTGGTTCCTTTGCGGACTCGCTGTCATTCGGTGCCGTCTGCACGAGAAGTGCTCGTCGAACCTGCGGCGACGGAATCATCTTCGGTATGTCAGTCTGCGTTACCTTTCTGCCGAGTGGTGTGTCGGTAGTGGCACTGGTAGTGGCACTGGTAGTGGCACTGGTAGTAGCATTGGCACTGGTAGTAGCATTGGCATTGGCACTACCAGCACTCACTGGCTGTGTGCTCGGTAACAGTGCAGCAGGCCTGGGTGGCTTGTCGGTGGCTCCCAGAGGATTGCCAAGCGATGACGACGAGTTGCTCTGTTGAAGGGACGCCGACGATGCTGCTGCTCCCGTCTTGGAGAGTGCGAGTTCGGTGGTCTTGCGTGACATGGCTGGCGTGTTCTGCCCAGTGATGGGTTCATCGGCCTCCTCGATGGCTTCCAGGGATCCTAACGAGTAGGATAAGTACTCTGCACTACCAGCGCTACTCACACTGCTCAGACTGCTGCCACTGCTGTGCATGGAGAGATGGTCCTCGGTGCCGGGACGTAAATCAAGATCATTTGCCATTCCTCCGTTACTGCCACCAATACCAATGGACTCGTCGTCGTCATCGGCATCGTGTCGTAGGGATTGCGAACCACCAGCATCGCCACCGCCTCCTGCTTTGTGTAGCCCAGCTGGGGCGTTGCCGTCTGAGCTTCTCTTCCGCGGCGGCGCAAGTCTCAGCTCCGGCGAGTCACCACCGACGGGCGGAGTACGTTCTGCCTTGGCATTGCTGCACAATAGACAATAGCACATCAGTGAATTGCACAGTGGGGGACAGAAGACGCATATTGGACACACGTTGCATAATCAAGTTCATTCAGAGTGATGGTGTCACCTGCATCTAACTATCCTATTTCTTTCCTCCTTCTGGCCATCAATAATCTACAAGGTTCTACCCTCCTTCAACACGCGCTGAATTTATCCTTCATCCTTCGCTCCTACTCACCCACTCGCTCACTCATTCACTAGCCCACTCACTCGCTCACTCATTCATTAACCCACCTGCTCTCTCATTCACACACTCACTCATTACCCCCCCCCCCCCACTTGCTCACCCTCTCACTCCCTCCCTCTCCTGCTAGCATATTGACAGCTCACCGCTTGCTTACCTTCCATAGACTGGTGATATTGTGGCCGTGCTGCTTAGCGGCCTACCCATGCTAAGACCTGCCGACGTCATACTTTCACACACCGTGTTCAGGAATGACGTCACTTCTTTGCTGGACGGCAGACCCATCAAGGCCAATGTGTACTTGGAGTTGGGGATGCGCAATGGTGGATGAGATGCAAAGCTGATCAGGATATTCCCTGGAGACGCACAGACAACAAGCGTATTGTACAGATGTGATTAATAATAATAATAGAACAGTTGGCGTACAGGGCAGCAATGTAATTCTAACCTTTCCACTTCTGTCTCTTCTGAGCTCTGCTACATGTGATGGTTGTGAAAAAAAGGAAAAGAAAAAACCCCGAGAGAAATGAAAGTACACAACAGATGTGATTAGAGATGATAATAGTAAGAAGGGACTATGTGTGTGTGTGTGTGTGTGTGTGTGTGTGTGTGTGTGTATTTGTATTTTGTATTTGTATTTGTATTTAATGGATTCTCCACAGACCTTAGCCTAAATGGAGGGAGTCTTCGCGCGCGCGCGCGCGCGCGCGCGCATGTGTGTGTGTGTGTGTGTGTGTGTGTTTATGTTACTCACTGTCATTCCTTGCCATGTTCCTCTCATCAGCAGTTGGTGTCCACTGTGGTGGTCTCTCACAACTCTCCGGTAACTGATAGTGCTGCAAGAGCTGATGCAGCTGAGCAGGGTCCAGGTGGGGGAATTCCCTGCGCAGGCTTGTCCACGATCCCTGCACACAAGGAGGAGGAGCCAGATCCACAGACATGGACTTGGTGATAAGCATAGCATGCACTCAGATGCATGGTCACGCGCATGTCCAGGGAAGGGGAGTGTGTGTGTGTGGGGGGGGGGGGGGGGGGGGTAATTATCTCAAACACAGGAATCTCTACAGTGCCTGTATTTCTTGGCTCTTTCCCACGCACATTAGGGGTCCTAGCAGGAGATTTTTCTGTCCCTGAAACGAACATCGTTCATGTAACACTCTGGCCCCCATGCATTATGAACACAGTTTGATATGCTGGACCACGCAAACCGCATGCATGTACAAAGCTCAAAATTAATGCCTTCCTGGAATAGTAACTCTACCTATACGTAATCCCCTATCACAACACAGACTGAGATAAGGATGTTATTATATTCCACAAGACAGAAAACAAAGTCACTCCAAGGACGGGAAAACCACAACAACAATCGATGTGAAGGTCGCACAAGTGGGCCTGCGTGCGGCATGCAGAGTCCTAGTGATGTCAGCACATAAGAAGACATGCATAGATATCCCCTCCCCCCCCCCCCCCCCCACACACAGCATACACCCCCCCCCCCTCCCCACACACACAGACAGCATACATGCAGAGAGTGCCCTCACCGCCAGGAGTTGTTCAGGAGGAACCGAGAGTAGATCTGCAGCCAGTGAAAGTTGAACTAGATGCCTGAGGGCCTCGCGCACTTCCACAGGCTGCTCTCCAGTCCAGCTCTCCAACACGTCAAGGTTTGCACGGATCTCCATGCCCTTTGACCAGCTGTTAAGAGAGACGGTGAAGAAACACAGTAGCTTATCAATCTCATTGGGCCTCCTAAATATAGCCTTCAGCAGAGTACAACCCTGTGGAAGGGATACTGGGATGAAAATACAGTAACCCCTCCTTAACCCTTGGTGCAGCGGGGAAACTGTTCTGGTATGACATGATTCCGTTTGATCCAGGGATGCGGCATGTTCAATCCACAGCACTTTGGCGCATGAAATTTTTTCCGGTCAAAACACTGAGGATTCCGCTTGGTACAGGGCCTGGAAAACACAGGTATAACTGTACACACCGTATTTCCTCGCATATAAGTCACACCTGTTTACACTAAACTTCAAGGGTAAAGAAGGTGTGCGACTTTCAATCGAGCGTGACATTCAACACAGTCTGAATATACTGAACCAGTATTGCTCAAACCTATAACCAGGGGTCACGGCGACTTATAATCAAATTCGGGGAAAACGGTAGGTGTGTACCTGTAGAAACTTGCTTCCTCCATCATAGTGTTGAAGAGTGAGGTGTTGGTGAAGAACAGAAGGTTAGATAACAGCTGATAGCTGATGTTGGGATGCAGCTGTGATGCGTACAGGGAGTCCATGATCGTGCGTAGCAACTCGTTCAGCCGTGCAACTTGACTCATCGATATGTAATCTAGTCATAACGTATAGCACACAGCGGTACAGATGCAGAACAAACATTCTACACACAGTGGTGGAGAACAAACATTCTACACACAGTGGTGGAGAACAAACATTCTACACACAGTGGTGGAGAAAGGCATTCTACACACAGTGGTGGAGAAAGGCGGTGTAGCTGTACCTTCAAGTGTCATGCATTGCCGCCGCGATCATCAGACAGCGGCATTCACCACTGAAGTAAGTCTCCACGAGCGAGCGAAATATTTGATGCTAGTGTGCCGGAAGTTAACGTGTATGTTAATTAAAAAAAAGATCCTATACGTTACATGTAGTGGCCCACTGTGCTGGTAAACTGCAATGACGCAGGACAAATGA